AATCGTTTTCGTTATTGTAATTTTTTGTAAATTTTATAACATTCGCTGCTCATGTTGTATAAAAGATATTTACCCCGGAACACCCGATTCTTTCTTTAGCAGCGCAAATGCGCATGCGCTATCAAGCCGTCAAGGAGCGACAGTGTTGTTTTCAAATGTATATATAAAACATTTCAGACATAAATCTTTCAGAATCTATGCGATATATAAATTGATGTTATGCATTATGGGCATTCAATCAAGTACCAATGTTATTTTATAGACGGTATATTCATTATACGAAGCTGGGAAGGAGCTAGACAATGCTTTTTTTCAAATGTATAAACATTTCATTTTCAGAATTCAGACGTAAATATTGAGAAAATCTTTGAGATTCTAGGCATTCAATTAAGTGTCGATATTATTTTGACGGTATATTCATTATACAGAGCTAGACATTTATAAACATTTCAGACATGAATATCTTGGATTCTACGCAATATATAAATTGATGTTTTGTATTTACCGGCATTCAATTAATTAATATTTTAAGTGCCGATATATATTATTTATATTCATTATACGGAACATCCAACGGAAAATTTATGTCGGCCAATCACATTTTACAAAATTTTCTTTCTGCGGAAAATTTTCCTGAGTGGAAATGGGCCTTTAGAAGGGGGTGTGCTAAAAAGAGGCAGGGAGCTAAATAGAGGAATTTATACAGTATTTGTATGTTTTGAGTTTGACTTGTTTACAAAATACACTGTAGTCCTGGGTAAACAGGCAGAATCATGTGAATTCTCAAAAAAGGCTAAACTCCTCCAGTATCATAAATGTAAACATAGTACTTTCAATTACCCTTTCTCATGCCATGCCAGCAGGCCATGTCTGCTATTTTTACATGGTAAACCATGCAACAATGAATAAAGACAACAAGCAAGGGAGCAATTCAGTAAAGTAAATAGTACGTATAAAAATATTACTGCTTTTACTTCGCTATTTACTTTTTATTCACTCCTTTGCTGTGGTTTACCACCCAAAGAAAGACTAATTCAATTTTTTGGATGACTTTCCATGTTACTATTCCAAAATGATGCCATAGGGAATAGAGTCAAGACTGTGGTTAGGATCACTGATTTAGATTTTAGAAAATAGTAAAAGAAGAAATAGTTTGCATTAACCCATTAAATTGCATTGCACCCTAATTCACCCTACTTTATTACTTTACTCTGTCCATTTGTCCAACGCCATGCAGATGATTTTACTCGTTGCTGGGTTAATATAAAATTTAATCAATTTTTCATGTTTAGTTCAATGTTCTTCAATGAAGATGGTGACTTAGCTCATGAGTTTTATGAAGAAGTAAAGTCAAAAAAGAAGAAGCGATCAAAGATGAAGAAAGTTGATTCCAGTTTATTACGACCACAGGTACGTCAGGTAGTTGCATATGTACTATTAAGGTAATTCCGCAGTTTTGCATTGCGCACTTTTACTGCGCACATCTTATAACTTATAATTTCATCCATTATACGTACCGTTTATAAAAAATGTTTTCAAAAAAGGCATACAAAAGTGTAGCTAGGGTTCCTGTGTCTGTAGTATATTTATTTACTTGTATTTCACGTTTTAATGCCACAATTCCCTAAAAAGATCGGTGACCCCCGTTTTTTAACTGATAATTTATTTCTTTAATGCATTTTACATTTCATATCCGAAATTAAAAGAAAAATAATTTCTGGATCTTGAAAAAAAATCCTTTATCAATGCATGTTCTCAAAGAAAGATATGTCTTTAAATGTGGAAAAGACCTTTGTGGATCAGAATTGTACAAGTTAGTAGTTTCATTTTGCTCAAAACACAATATTTTTTCAAAAATAAATACAAGATAGGTTTACTAAAGCAAAATCCGCGCTATAAACGTCAATAAATATCGGGCTGTTTTGATTTTGCTGTTACTCGTAATGAGCGTCAAGATGGCGCCATATTGGGGTAAAGGTGGTATATTGTGATTGTCATATCTTCTTAACGAGTTCGGTGAGCCCGACTTTTTTGTGTGATTTTACTATAAGTATATCATAAACTCCATGCCTGGGAAGTTTCAGCACATTCTCATTTAGAGAACAATTACTGCGGAATTACCCTAAGTGCTATTTAAGAATACTAAAACATGATTATTCTTGCTGGTAACTTATTTACAGGGACAAGTTAATTTGCAGTTTCCAAAAATTCACCCAGATCTGCCAATCATAATGTGTGAAGTTTGAAAGGGAAGAAGACTGCTGTCCACTGAAGTATTGTGTGACAAATACATTGAATGACACAAGTTCAAGTTTTCATGAAATCAAGAATGAGAAGTACTTTAACTACTTTACGTGCAAGGTCTAAAATGGTCACCATTGCTTCCCATCTCAGGTTTTCATTTCAAACTCTGTTGGTGAATATGAAGACAAAGAAGTTTTCTTACTTGATAAAAAGTTGGGTATGACAGTTGGGCTGATGAATTATATATATTGAGCGTAGATATTTATTATTATTGAATTGGAAGTCAAATGTATTATATTAATCTTTAATAAAATAGCTGAACATATTTTAGCGAAGTCTAGTTGTTGTACCAAAGTTAACATACATTCGAAACGGTCTCTCTTAAGGTAGCCTGCGTAGCAGGCGTTTAGTGCGGGTGGGAGAAGAGAGGGCCTCAAACGACGCCCTTTCTTCTCCCGCACGCACTAAACGCCTGCTACGCAGGCTACACTTAAACCAGTTTCGGCAACGTGTAAAATTCACGTGAAGAAGTAAGAACCGATAATTGGTTCCTCTGTAGTGTTCAGAAAACAAAGAAATACGCTACGTTTCGTTACCGTTGAGTGAAAAACAGGTTTAACGCTTTAAGTGGCAATGCGCCCTACTTTATTATTTCACTCTATCTAACGCCAGACAACTTTACTCGTCAGGGGGAGAGTGTTGCCACTCAATGAGTTAATCAGACTATCTGACCATGCACCCTGTTAACCCTTTAAGTGGCAATGTGCACTACTTTATTATTTTAGTCTGTGTAACGCCAGAGGATCTTACTTGTCAGGGGGGAAAGTGCTGCCACTATCTGACCATGCACCCTTTAAGTGGCAATGTGCACTACTTTATTATTTTAGTCTGTGTAACGGCAGACAATTTTACTCGTCAGGGGGAAAGTGCTGCCACTATCTGACCATACACCCTGTTAACCCTTTAAGTGGCAATGTGCACTACTTTATTATTTTAGTCTGTAACGCCAGACGATTTTACTTGTCAGTGGGAAAGTGCTGCCACTCAATGGGTTAAAAAATTAATTATTTAAAATTATGCATAATTTTGTATATAAATCATTCTTTTTCAAAGAACAAGAAGCTGACTGCAACTTTTTTTTATCAGTGATGCCTACAGTACAAGAACTCAAAAAGTGTTTCAATCTATGATTTAACCATTAAGCTGTAACCCTAGCTTACTATTGATGAGTACACTTGAGTGGCATTAGAATAAAATGACGTTGGACCAGGTAAACCAATTTAGTAAAGTGGATTACTGCTTAACCCATTGAGTGGCAGCACTCTCCCCCTGACAAGTAAAATCGTCTGGCGTTAGACAGAGTGAAATGATAAAGTAGGGTGCATCTGGGCGCATTGCCACTTAAAGGGTTAAGCCAGTTTTCCACTTCAATCGTAACGTACCGTAGCATTTTCTTTTGTGTCGAAGTCATTAGTTCCACTCTAGTGGTCAGGAAACAAAGAAATACGCAACGTTTCGGTACGATACGACTGAAGTGGAAAACAGGCATTACGGCCGTTTTAGTGTCCGTTAATAGGCAATTCCAGCTTTTAATTTATGCGCACAGGGGGTGACGGGAAGTAAGGTATCATATTGCTGATTATGCTGAAAATTTTCAATAAAAAATGCCGAAACAACCGAAAGATTTCAATATTTACAAGTATAAGCTATCAATCCTTGTTTACACGGCCGCCATTTTTATTTTTTCAGCATAATCAGCAATATATCTTACTCTCCCCCCCTGTACGCATAAACTAAAAGCTGGAATTGCCTATTATTACAGGTTCGACTTTGGTGTGTGAACTTGAAATGCTCAGAAGCAATATAGTAATGGTCGCAGCGCAATTCCTGGAGTGTTTTTTTGTCCTGTTTGACGTCTTATAACCTGTCACGCGTCTTTAAAAAGTATCCAAACTATGCGTCACTATGAAAGCCGAAGTCGTGTTTAAGAGCCGAAACTCATGAAGGAGCATTGTGTCCTTGATGAATCTTTGAAAAATGGACTTTGAAAAATTGCTCTTGAAAGAATACAAGTTAATCCAGAGAGACCAGATAGTCACGCGGACGAATGGAAACAAACATAACACGCGCGCCGTACAATTTCCGTTTATGTTTGCTAATACACCATATCGGTAATTACGTCACGAATAGCTTGGGTGTTTGGTTGTCATGAATTAAGACGAAAGGCTATTCACGATTCATGAAAACGACGCTCCCTGGCCAAGGAGGGATTTGCGAGGTAGTTGGAATTTGCTAATTTGTGTGGATATCCGTCGATTACGTTCGCTAGTTCGCCAATTGGAAGAGAGACATCCATTCATCGAACGTTGAAGGATTTTGTAGATGGAAATTTCGAGTATTAAGACCTAAACCACGAGCACAACTGTAGACACTCTGGCAGGACTTGAACCTGCGATTCCGATGGAGCGGTCTAACCAGCCGAGTCCAGTTTCAAGCTCTAACCGCAAGTTTTTATCTAATACATATATACTACGGTGATGCAATGCTAAGGTTTATGAGTAAATATCCTGACATCCATCCATACATCGCACAAAGGACTGGGCGTTAGTCAACTCTGGAAACAACCTCGTTACCAGGGCCTTTTTTGAAAAATTTTCAAAAAAGGCCCTGGGAACGAGGTTGCTCTGGAAAACCAAGAAGTGTCAAGAATATAGTGTACAGCCGAGTGAAAGTTTTGCTGGTCCTCCGATATGAAAACTACGGGCCCTACCTCTCGGATATGCAAAGAGTGCTTTCATGAACTTTAAAGTGTTTGCATTCTTGGAGAGCAGGCAAACATTAGGGAGTGTTCGAATTGCCTGAACAGACAAGAAATTTATCGTGGTACAATCAAAGCAGACACATATAACAAAAACGAAATATTATTAGCTAAAATAAAACTTGATATGAATAAACTAAGATTAAATTAGATAATTGCATGCAGTTCTGGTGCCGTGTACACTTTGGAGATCATGTTCTAGCTTTGAGCCATCTTGAAGATATTGAATAAACAGTTTGAAATCTATTATATATTGCTTATTTAGCGGAACTTATATCTGACGTAAGGGACTTCAACATCTTCACCGTCAGTATCATTACAACATAATTCAAAGACTAAAGCTTTCACATGAGGTTTGATCTTCTTCTTTGACACCTTAGCAACAAGTTCTGTCATCCTGAGAAAAAGAAGACGCATTTACTTCAATGACGAACTAGTTTATCACCAAGATACAGTAGACATGAATGTCTGTATGTAGACACATGAACAATGAAATGGTGCATATATATATAATTCGACTTGAATACCCTCATTTTCATTAAAGCGCTTCATTGTATGCAAGCTAGAATAATAAGCTGTTAGACTTACTTTAAAGGTAGACGTTCTTTGAGTTTAGATTGAGGCATAAAGAACGAGTAGAGCATACACACTCCTTGTGATAACATGGAGACTTCCAGTTTATGTTCATTCTAAAATTATACAGAGAAAATTAAACGCGAAATTGAAAATTACGAAAATCCGCTTTGCGTTCACACGGGAAGCACTAAACCGGGTGAATTCGAGCACTATCTCTTCCGTAGCCTGTAAACACGATTGTCTTCTGGCCTCGTTGCTCAACGCATGGATAATAAAATAAATGGATAGGAAACTAGCTGACGTGACCTAATGTTTTTACTGTGATTGATGGCGTGCTTGGATGCCTCAACCTAGTTGAAAATCAAATTCTCAAAAACGGCATGTTTAGCAATAATGCAGCTAAACATTTTAGTCAAAGAGCAAATAAATATAACCACGCCATTCTACGATGATAACTCTAAGTATTCCCAGTCAATTTTAGCAAATATTTCAAGCACTAAACAGTGAAAAATACATCGCAAATTTCGTTAAAATTTGTGACGCCAATTTCGTAGCTACAAATGTAAAAACATACAAAACAAAGACGAAAAACATTTACCTTGAATACTTTGTCGTGGCTTAGGCACGTTTTTAAAACAATTAGACCAGTTTACGCTTCAAGATCACCCTTTTAAAGTGGAAAATATAGCAAAACAACAAATATGCCGAGAACTTTGGTAACATTCGCAATACGCGTGACGTCACGTTTTTCAACAAGGATGCAGTCAATGACGTCAGAAGTTTCCAATCCATTTATTTTATTATCCATGCTCAATGTAAGAACGTCTGCTTGCAGGCTATCTCCTCCGCAGAGCTTATTAATTGTTCTTCCAACATCTTCGGACAGCTGTCGGAGTTAATCGGTATACGACCCCGAGAGCTGTCCGAAGAAGAATTAATCATAATCTCTGCGGAGGAGAGAGATCGACCATTACTGGACCTGACTCGTAAGTCGTACCCAGTTGTCATAGCTATATTAAATTACGTATTATAAGTGATAGATTACCTGCCCACCAAAGTATTTTCAATACAAAGTTCGCTTTTTACACTGTTAAAGGTCATACGTTGGTCAATTTTTTACTCACTTGAAAATAGTCCAAGAATTCTTGAAGGGTAAATTCTTCTCCCTTGTCATTGAGAGTCAATTCAAACCTATCCCATAAACTGAACTCTGACTCGTAATACTAAAATGAAACAAATTTCATTAGGAAAGGGGAAAACTTTAAACTATATCATTGAGTACATATTCTGTCACCGAGTCACCCAGTAATCGGAATGCTCCATTGTGTTTTCATTGTTTTGAAAATTCCACTGTTCTCCATGCCATCCAGTACTCATTATTTTGACATATTTGTGGCGTTTGTCCTATTGTGCTTTGAGGATAATTTTATTGAAATTATGTATTTGAAACGATATTAATAACTGTGCTTACTTTGTTCTTAGGTGCAGTGATTGGTTCAGAAAACGCGAAGAAAGGCAAAGCTAAATTGATAAATCCATTTTTGAACGTCTCCAATTTCTTACTACCTTGAATAATCTGTCAAAATTCCAAGCACAAATCATATTTCAGGAGTGATTAAATAAACTTTATAAAGAACACGGAATTGAAAAAGTTGGGAAGGGAACAGCTGTGAACAAGAACAGCTATGAACAGGCAACATGATCTCTTCTCAAAATTAAGGCTATGTCTTAATTGTTAAACTTTTGAAAATTAAGGATATGGCTTAATTTTGAAATTCTCTTCTTCTTCTTTTTTTTAAAAAAAAAAGGTCGCCAGATTTGGATTGGATTAGGGTTAGACTAGGATTAGATTATGATTAGGGTTAGCGGGGTTAGGGTGGGGTTTGGGGTGGGGGTTATGTTTAAAATTAAGGCAATGTCTTAATTTTGAACGCTTTTTACAATTAAGACATAGCCTTCATTTTCGGAAGAGATCGAGCTGGAACAGGCAGTGACCTCTATATATATATCTGGAGTAAGAACTTCAGTCATTCGGTCAATGAGAAAAGTGAAGTCAAGACGGCGGCCATTGACGTCCAATAGTTCTGAAGGTCGTAAACAGTTTTTATACCATTTTTCCCAGCTAATTCCAGTTTTTCTAACGGACCGTATCGCTAGCAAAGTTATCAGTTCATAAAACCATGGAGGAGCTATTGGACATCATTTCCTGTCCCTTCCTAATTGTTTTTGTCCTCTGCGGTTGACACGAAGTTCGCGTCACTTTTTGGACTCGAACTCACTGTGAACAGGTTCATAACAAAATGATAAAGTAAGCACGAAGCAAGGCGAGGACGTACAAATTAAATGTAAACAAATATCTGGCATATATATATATATATATATATATACAAAGAATCAAGTCTTAGATTTCTTACCTTATATAGCTCCAAGCAGACCAGACCTGATACAACAGCAGTTGTTGTGGCTATGGCAGGAATAATTTTACCTGCAATTAATTTGCTCTAGAGAAATGATAGATACATGCTTCAGAATTTGCTCGGCACCAAATATGTATCATGCAGGTGCATTATAGGCCGATATACACATCGGACGCGATTCAACAACGCGGCGCGATTTTTCAATATTTGAAAGTTAATAAAACAGCCAATGAAAGGAAATTGAGAACTGTAGACCAAATAACTCAAAATGTTATAGCGCTTCTAAATATTTGAATATTGATTCGCGCCGCGTTGTTGAATCGTGTCCCGTGTGTATCGGCCTTAATTATGCAATATACGTTTATATCAAATTTTACAGTTAAGCTCCGGTCAAACGAGGATAATTGACAAGAATTGACGAGAGCAACTCTCTCTCTCGCGTTTGACCGCTAACTCTCATCGACTGTCATCGACGTTGAGCTGGTTCATATTTTGATGCGAGTTATCGGTTGACCGGGGCGTTAAGACCGATTTACACTACACAACTGCCTAAAACTGTTGCATGCAACCTGCTTATACAACTTGAGTTGTCTAACCTACGATAACGTATGGCGAATTGTGTGCTTGATTTTCACTGTACAACTGAAGTTGTAAGCAGGTTGCATATACTTGCATGCGACAGTTGTGTAGGCAAACGTTGTGTAGGCAAAAGTTGTGTAGTACAAATCGGCCTTTAGGCTTCTCACTAGCTGGTACGCGTATATGGTCAGCGATGCCAAACTTTGCGCAGGATATACTTAATTAACAAAAGATAATGTAACAACAAGGGTATTGTATACTGCAAAAACGGTCTCTATGCTTTACGATAACACAAAACTGTGTGTATATATAAAGTGGCACTATAGAATTACTCATTAAAATGATGTGAATACCTTGTGTCTATCAGCAGGGGCAATATCATAATTTTCAGCACGAAGGTTAGAACATGCCACAATAAAGTCCATATGGAAATTGGTGTCATCATCCTAAAATATGAAGAATTCGTCACCGCACATGTATGTATGGCTATGCTGGCCACAAATGAGGCAGCACTCATCTCTTTGCCCATTTTACTCGTGTCAGTCTTTGTTTGCACATGACACCACTATATGTCATTTCATGGCCGTCATCTTGGCAAATTCTACAGTTTATGTTTACGATCTCTGGCTCGATACAAAAAGGAATGAAGAATATGTGGTTTTTGTCTATTGCAAACCACCAAAGCGTTCGCCAAAAGCTATGGAGAATGTCGTTTGATGCTCCTTGCTAACTGCTGTTTTTATATTTGTATAGGTTACAAAACTTTGTCGTCAGCCTCGTTCTTTTCCATCTTAGGCATCGTCAAGGCATTTTAGGGGTATAGGCAAGAAACAAATTGTCATTACTGTACCTTTTCAAATTCAACATTAGAAACTTTTATTCCACTTAATACTTCAGGCGATGGCAGTCTGGAAAGTAGTTTGTCCACTTCATTTTGTTCTAAATGTAATAAAAACAAAAAACACATAGGTATAGATGATGTGTAACGAATCTCTTCGAATTAAATATAAGGGATATTCGTCAAGTTGGATGAAATACACTATTCCGGACAATCACTCAGCCTTGGCTATACAACCTCGTTTTCGTGATTGAGATATTGAGTTAAGAGCTCTTTATCTTGTTACAGGTGGACGAAATCTTACAGTTATATATATTTAGGTCACCAGTAACAAGATGTAAAAAGCTCTAAAGCTGATATCTTAATCCCGATATCAAGGCTCTATACCCAAGGCTAAGCACTTTCCGGAAAAGTCTAATAAAGTTGGAAATAAGGAACATCTTTTGTCAAGTTCATTCAACATGACAGTGAAGATGTAAAGTAAAAATCGATTGTTGCCGAGTGTCCCCAAAACTGTACGCTGTTGACTTAATGCAACGTAAAAACTAT